GGCCTCCTGCACAATTTGTCATTACATGTATATGGTAACGCAAAACATAGGAAGATACTGTGAAAACTTCAATATATTTGTTTATTTTCTGTTACTTTTCGACAGGCAGAAAATAGCACTCCCCCCCCCCCCCATGCGGCCTTTGTGTGTATGTGATCAAATTTTATTTGTTACATGTTCATGTATTAATTCACCCGTCTTCCACAAAAATATTCAAATATTCCTGAATAGTGTGTTGGCTACATTGTATTAGAAAATATGCATTACTATCATTGCCAGGCGGAATTTGTGTAAGTTTTAATTGTTCATCTTTCAAAGCATTCAGATACTTTTACCTTTAAAGTTAGTAGAAAGTTTAGAAACTTTTGAAGAACAAAAGAAATCATTGTTTATCAATAGTTCAACCCCCAAATTAAGTGTCGCACTTTCAGAAATGAAATTGTTTAGTTTTGATGACATGTTTATTGCAGTCGATTCCGCAACTCAAATGGAATGTTAAATTTGTCTGTTTTAAGAATTGTCAATTTATATCCAAGCTACCATTTTTTGTTGTCGACATTTCAACATTCATTGCGTCCCTACATGTTCGATCAATCATTACAATATGCTATTATGTGGTGTTGTGGGTCTGTATGACCTCACTTGTATAAAATATTTGATATTACATTATATAAATCATCATGACATTTATTTCTCTACTTGGTCAACTGTCAGCTATAGAGTTGGATTTGAAACTTTCCAGGATAGACCCGTTCACTAATTTGATGCATACTTTTAAGACAAGAGTACCTGAACAAGCCTTTAGAGGTCAAAGTTGATAACATTTTTCCAAATAGCACAGTGCCATGTTCTTTCTGAATGTATACAATTCTTCATCAGAGACTATTAATCTCCAATAAAATGTGGAATGCAGTTTTGATGTAGTTGAAGTTGTACTTTGTTAAAACATGTACTCCCCCTCTCTCTCTCCTCTGGTTTTGTCGTTCATCTATCCTTTTCTCCTCTCTGTAATCCCCCTTGCTTCTTTCTTCATTGTATTCTGGGCCCTGTTCCATAAAACTTGTCATCAATCACAAATGCTTAATTTCTATGGCAGATTTGCTCTCGGTCAATCGAATGCCACGATTCTATCTTATTAAAAGTTATTGCAACTTGAATACCGATTTCAATTTTAATGAAACGGAACCCTGATCTCGTCGTTTCCTTCCCTCTTCCCTTTTTCACTCCTATACTTTGTTTTTGACAGCTCTTCTCTTAACTCTCAATCCTGTTTGCCCTTTTCTTTATTCATAATACCTTCCCTTGCACATCTCTCCATCCTCCTCAGATCTCTTTTCTCCATCTTCATTATTTCTCTTGATTTCCTCATTTCTGATAATGCTCTTTTAAATCTCCATCTGTCTCAGCTCCTTGGAGCTTTTTTTTTTCTTTCTGATCTATACGTTGTCTCCTGTCCTGTAATAAATGTATATATGTTCACTTAATATTCTTCTACTATCTCTCTGTCACAGGGCTTTGATTCAGTCTTGTTCTTCTTATTCTTATTCTCTCTTTTCTTCTCTTTCTCCCACCTCGCAATACTCTTCTTGTGATCTACATGCCTTTTCTCTCCTTTCTCCCCTCCCTCTCTGTTTCTCTCTTCTCTCCTGATCCCCTTACTGTTCGACCTGCGATCAAGTCACACACGCACTCTCTCTCTCTCTCACTCTCTCTCTGTCCCTTTGCCGGGCCCCCTTGTCCTCTATCCTAATTATCTTTAGATTTAAGATGAACAGAAAAATTGGGTACAAACTATTACATATGTTAGCATATTTAATCAATGAAAACAAATGTACATTCTATTTACAATATTTACAATCAATAAATGAATACACCCAAGTAAAATAGGTCTTGGAAGTTGTTAGTACCCTCCAATGGGATTTCATTTGAAATACACATGACATTTGTTTTCTTCTTCAGTAGGCTAAACAGGTTATATACTTTGGGCACAAAACTTTGACTACATGTGCTATTTCTTAAAACCATATGAATAAATATACCAATAATAAAGGGAATACTATGTCCATGTATATGGCACTTTGATGTAATAGGGTTCTACTAAAGATTCAACCTGATACGGTTTAGACTTCTGTTTTAAATCAGGTTTTTTAAAAGGAAGTCAGTCCGAGGTCTGTTTTCCTTTAGTTGTAAAATTGCGGAAATACTACCAAACTTCATCCATAAAACACTGACTAATGTTTCATCATGGTGTTTTGTATACAGTCTGGATACCTGATCATGATCCAAAACTGAAGCTCTAAACTATAAAAACAATCACATATAAATAACGTCTGTTCATGCAGGGCCAGAAGGGCATTAACTCTGTGTTGAAGTAGATTAGCCAATGATTTTTGGCTCCAGAAAAGACAGCACTACTACATAATAATGATAATAATAATCTTTTTAAAGTCCACTCCAAATTTTATTAAGTTATTACCGAAAATGGAAATTCTTTTTGCCCAATTGATCGTGAGTCCAGCAGCCACTGAGCAGCGCCAGATCGATGTTGCTCTATCCCTTATTGTTGAATGCGAAACAGGTAGCAGCAACTTCCGTCTTTTAACCACTTTTGGTATGACGCGGCCGGGGTTCGAACCCACGACCTCCTGGTTGTGAGGAGGACGCTCTACTGACTGAGCCAACACACCTCATTATAACGAGCTCTGATATGAGGAGGTATCTGTTAAACCAAGATGACTTTGCTGGTCCCAGCTCTTTATATTCTTTTGCGTTCTTTTACCCTGATATAACAAGGTCATTTGCATGGTCCGAAAGGATCTCATTATAACGAGGTTCCACTGTACATAAGTATACATGTACATGCAACATAAACTACCGGTAAACAGTAAGATACAGCAAAACAAGATTTTAAATGAATGGCTTTTCTAAAGTAACGGTGTAACAACAATGGCATAGCTACGCCTTGGCCTCAAGAGGGGGCAAATGATCTGTGCCTGCGAGATCACGTTCAGCAAGGGCCCTTCATTTTGAAAATATGTAGTACTGATTTCTTGCGTTCCTAAGAGCAACTCTAATAGAATTGAGGAAAAATTGATTGCCAAAGGCTAAAGGGGGCTGCCGTTTCGTCCATGATCAGAAATGAGTCAGGAGGGTCAAAATTTTCCCTTTGCCTCTCTTTCAAATACCCTATCTGTGTTACAATATGATTTTTGTTTTATAAAGCATCTGCCTCACAACGCAAAGTCTGAAAAAGGTTGCTATTTCTATTGCATTAACAAAAGAATTAACAAATACATGCATTCTAGGTAGACAAAAGTTATAATGCATATGTATGAACAAGTACACCACTTTGGAATGTGCTTTACCAGTAGTTTTAGTTTTGATTTATTTTACCTTAAAACACATTTATAGCTCACAAGGGACACATTTGGTCACAAATTAATGTTTAAATTTGAACAGAAATCTGGGTCAGTTTGTTACGTGACCTAAAATACTCAGGAAAATTGTGAAAATTATCAAAATGGCCACAGAGAATCACCCATACCATTGGCTCAATACATAATGGCTAATTTCTTTTTTACCAGTGGTCAGTACTATAGAAATCATTCCTAATTTACTTCATTGTCATGAAAAGTATTTCATTATACTTATCCTAAATGTTGTCCCTCTGTCGCCACACGTACTTGTACGTAATGACACTGATGCGCAACTAACAAAGACAGCAATAGGAGTATTACAAATTATTTATACCTTCTGTTTTGTATGCCGACAATCACGGGTGGAATGGAGCATTATGTATCTATGATGTAAGTAAAGACCAAAAACTAAAACAACTGGGTTTTTTTTTACTCCATATTTTTCATTGATACATCACCTGGCAGGCGGGATTTGCCCTACTGAAATAATAAAAATAATAACAATAATTATGTCAAAATCATGATGATGATTCAGCACATTTCCATGGCGCCATATTCTGTTTAAAACATTCAAATGCATAGAATAGCTGCACTTCAATATCGACATCAATCATTTAGCTAGCTTCAGGTACATACCGTATGTAGTTAATAAACAGTTCTTTGAAATTATAACAACGATAAGCAAAAAGAGAAATAATGATTGCACAATTTGAGTCTATTTCTGTTGCAGCATGGAAGAAAATGAGTCCATTACTTTTTATATTTCATGACTCACTATACATAGTAATCACCACTACCAAAACAGATCATCTGGAGTAGGGGTATCTACAAGAATCCGCTCTTCGGTATCATTCAAGAAGATATCCGCTGTAAAGGGCTGTTATAAACACTCTCTATATCCTAGGACATTCCCCGAATGGAACTTTCTCTTGACCCATGTTAGAAATACCCCCACCCTTGGAGCCTTTAAAGATAACTTACAAAAGCTCAACATGGGCAAAATAATTGCTAGAGCCCACTTCAGAAATTAAGTATACTATGCTCAGTCGACTGTGCCTGCATGTTACATCCAAGCTGAGGAGTTTATGCAGTAGCCCACCAAAACCAGAAGCATAGTATTACTACACGGTCAAAGAGGTTCACAGATCAGCGCACTAGACCAGATTCTTTCAGTCGTTATATATATATTTTTTTTCCAATCATCTCTGCCCTCTTCCCTTACACATCCCCACCAATAACGCGATCCCCGAAAATACACCCTTTGAAAAAAAACTAAAGAAGGGACTGTCTCTGTTTTAGTGTTGAGGCAGGTGTGTTATTTTCTCAGCTGATTGGGCGCGCGCCATGGAAACAGTCCAGGCAGTGGACTGTATTAATAATAATAATAATATTCAGCTTTTATATAGCGCTTAAAACATCTCGGACGTCTCTAAGTGCTTTATAGATATACTATTATCCCGGTCATTGGATTTAGTGCTTGCCCGCACACACTGTGTGCACAATCTCCACTCCCTGGGGAGCATTCCAGCCAGGCGTAACTTGACGCTCAAAAAATGTTTGACCAACAATGACGGTCGCATCCTACCGGGTACCCATTTTTACACTTAGGTGGAGAATAGCAAGTGTAGGTTAATATTTTGCCAAAGGATATTAGTGCCGTGTGGGATTCAAACCCTTGACCTTCGCATCTCCAGTCAAGCGCCTTAAACCACTCGACCACGACACTGCCACTGACTATGTGCGCACCTATTTGAAGGCAAGAAGATGTATCCATGTATTCAGTACATGGGGTGAGTGGTCGTTTTAAAGTTGGGGTCCGTCTGATGTAAATGTTGGCCCTGGGATGTGGAAGGGTTAGGGGTCAGATGGTGCAGAGGTTGAGGTTGGATGGTAGACATGAAAGGGCTAGGCTGAAGAGGCTGCAGGGTTTGATTGGTAGGGGGTAGGTACTGCCTTGGCTGCGGCAGGGAGTGTGCTGGCTGGTGGCTCAAGGGTTGTCCGGTGCCAGTAAAGGTGTAGGGAGACGGCAAATGTTGCGCCAACGGCTGAGGCGGCATCATGTGGTGGCCGAGCTGCGAGGCCAGGTAGGAGGCAGTCATACCAGTTTGTTGGTTTGCGCCTGTTAGGGGAAGGGATTGTGAATGCTCCTTGTACGGGTAGGGAGATGGTGCCGCTCTTTGGACAATCTGTGTTACAATGGTCTGGGACAAAACACTTCCTGCAGGAGTCAGGCTCGGCTGGCGAGGGATGTACTCTGGCTCCTGCTGGCTGTGATGCTGGGTTGCTGATGATAGAGCAGGTGGCAGCGAAGACACCAGCTGGGAAGACAGAGATGAAAAATCTATCATACCTGATGGCGCTGTGGCTGGAGGGAACAGGTGCCTTTGAGTTTGTTGAAGTGGTGCAACAAGAGGCTGCATTGCTTCTGCCTCTAGAGGACTAGGCTCTGAGATCCCTGACGTGGATGATGCTGTGTGAAGGGTCTGGATGTGGGACGTTGCAGGGGCATTCATGATGATCTGTACAGGCGAGTTCTCTCTCACTTGGGTCAGTGCTGTTGAAGGGATTATCCCTTCACAAGATGAGGGCATTGTTGAGGTGGCTGTCCCTGGAACCATGTAAACAGCATTGCCAGGCTGGGTCTGAGCAGCCGAAGTTATGATGTAGGACAGCAAGTCCTTGAATCCTGCAGAAGAGTTTGTAGCTGCAGCAGGGGCCTGTGGCAACGTCGCTTCTGGTTTAGTAACCTGTGTACCTCCACCTTGAGCATCCAACACCCTTCCTTGCTCTACACTATTCTCTTGTCCAGAAGTAAGCTTGGACTCTAGTGCTTTCTTAATAACTGCAGTCTCTCTCATTTTAATTTGTAGCAAAGGTAGTGGGGTGGCAGCTTTCCGCTTTGCCCGCCTCCAAAGATTATCTAAGGAGTCAGCAGGCACTTGAGCTTTGCACTTTGCAACAATCGCTTTAAGTTCACTGAGAATGTATGGGAACAGGGAAGCTTGTACTTTTTTATTTTCCAGAAGAGCTAGTAGTTCATCATTGACATCTAATATTTTTGTCAAGTTTACTTCAGATGTCTCGTCATCTTCTATTGGAACTGGCTCAGCATTGAAAATCAAACCTGGATCCTGGGCATTATTATCTTCAGGTTCATATGTGTTGGCCATAAACAGTCCTCCATCATCCCCATCATCATCATCATCATCATCATCAACGTCATCATCGTCTGCTGCATCACCTTTAGGAATGGCAGCATCTTCACCATTCTTTCCAGTTCCTTCACTTGCATCTGAATTTGCAACAGATTCTTTGGCTTGAATGGCTGCCTCTTTTTGTGCTTGTCTCGGACTTCTCCTGAGTTTCTTCTGAGGCGGGGGCAGAGGTGCTGAAGAGGTGCTGCTTTTCCGCGAAGGGTCTGTCAGCTGCATTTTGATATTGACCAGGAAGGAGCTCTGCATCTGCATGTGGACCCTGTGTATGTGGGGGCAAAGATGGGACTCCTCCCCACAGGTGCAGGTGTACAGATGAGGACAGAGCTCAACGCAGGATACGTGAAGGCACTGGGGACTGCATGACGCCTCTGGGCAAAACTTCTTGACTCTCTTCACATGTAGCAGTTCTGTCTCAGTTTTCACTGAATACATCTTTGCCATCATTCTTGTAACACATTCAAGAGGTATCTGGAGGGCTTCTTCATGCCTTGATCTTAGGCCCACTGTTTGTGTTGGTTGCAGACAACTTTGTAAGAGAGACTGGTCACTATGCTCATCAGCAGTCTTCACCAAGAAAGCCACAAGGTCATAGATCTCCCCTTCTTTGCTCTCGCTGTCAAGGTATGCTTTGAGCGGCTTGTGGAAGGCTTCATCATACATCGTTGTGTGGTTGGGATCAGAGGAATAATTTCCATAGCAGGTTGCCCACTGTGGACAGCGATCCAAGTAAGACTCTTTGAAATATACCACAAAGCTCTTGTCCTTGGACTGATATCTGTTCAGGAATGTGCTAGTCATACTTGTGAACTGATTCAAGTTGGTTTCTTCCATGAGCAAGACCAGGGATGTGTATATCTCTCTCCTGAGCTCCTTGTCCGCGACAAGCACATGCAGCTGATGCAGCCAGTCATGGTGAACGAGACGCTTGCAGAAGACATGGCTAAGGTTCTCACCAAAGACGGCCAAGAGAATGTTGATGCAGCTCGACGACTCATCGGTCAAGACCCCTGCCATCATAGACTTGTTGAAACTTTCTGCGATTATCTGGAAAAAATAGAAGAGGGCTGCTTGATCGTCGGGACTGCAAATCAGATGAGCCACTGGACTTCCTCTCCCGTAGTCATCTCGCATGCTGACATTCACCAGTAGGTAATTCTGATACTGCACCGATTCCACACAGAGGTACTTGACTGTGAACAGTTGCAGCATGTGAAGCTGTTGCTTTGTCTGCACACCAACAACTACTGGACTGTCCTCCACTGCCAGGGAATCACCTTCAAGCTTTCCAATGATGTACTGCCCTCCTTCAGGCTTGTACATCATGATGGGATTGTGTCCTTCGGATCTGTGTTTCTCTAGAAGAATGGCTAAGCCGGAGATGCTGTCAAGACCTTCTGGATTCTTCTCCGCTCTTTTGAATATATTCCGTCGCATCTGCTGCATGTGGTGTCTGGAGATATTCAGCTGCTTCTTGAATACAGTCAGGTTACCGATGTTGCTATGGTTTGGACGAGAAAGGTCCTTCAGGATGTCTTCCACAGTGACCCCAAACGCGATCTTCAGCTTCAAGTCGTCCCTCAACTTTTGCGGCAATGGATGGAACTTGATGTCGCTGGATAGGAGGCGGTGAGAGTGTGAACTGTAGTAAGTAACCTTGAGGTTGCCTGTCTTCAGGCACTTGGCTGTAATGATCCTTGCTGGGCAGATCATATCTGTCTTGACACACCCCTGGGACTTTTTTCTGGAGGTTGTCCTGGCAGGACTTCCTTTGGCTTTGTGACTACGAGAGCTGCCATTTCTCTGACATGCATAGGTCTGATGAATGCAAAGAGAAGACTGGATAGCGCCTCTTTCTTTCGAAAAATAAGCAAAGTTCTGACTCTCTTCTCTCTCCTTCCATGCCAAAAATTTCTCCACGGTTGCAAACGAGAGCTCCGACTTCTGCAAACATATGCCATGGTCTTCCTCTAGATGCTGCATGAGTTTGGTCTTGTGGTAGAACATCTCCTTGCATCCAGGACGGATGCATGATGTCCTGGCATTGCTGGTCGTTGTCTCCTTGTGGACCTTCCGAACATGGCGCTGGAGATTAGTCTTCTGTGTGAAGAGGTTGTTACATCTAGTGCAGCAGAACTTGCCATCTTTCTGTTGAGATAATCATACAAAGAAGAGTAAATATGTAGGTTTCGAACATCGATGAGAAAAAAAATATTTCAATCATTCTTATTTACTTAGGAAACGAAATATAACTTTAAATTTAAAATGATATACAATAAGTATCAAGTTATCCATCAAATCAGGCAAAAAGATTAATTTATTTTCATTGAAAATGTTTATTTATTGTAGGAGAAAACAGACACGGTCTAACAGTCTCGTTGATAAGAGAAACCTCATCTAACCTTGAATCAGGCTATAGCTAATTCTACAAAAGAGTTAAAATTTATATGTATGGTCATATTCTTGGCCAATTTATAAGTAACATGAAAAAGTTGTACATGTACACATAAAGTATCCTAGTGGGGTTGTATGATACATGCTACGGAGACAATTGCTCTGTGGTCTATATCCATACACTATAACCAAATTTGTAAACCCAACTATGGACCAAGCACGATACTTCATTTTAACCAAACCCTAAACCTATTAAACTGAAAACCCAATTGCAACCCTAACCCTATATCTCTGATGAAATAAATCCTGAGTATATTTTTGCCAGGGCATAAATGTACATCGTAGCACCTTGGTATTAAAGCAGGCATTGCTTTAATTCATTAATAATAATAATAATTAAACATTTTTATATAGCGCATAACACATAGGCAAAGTGCATGTCTCAATGCACTTTAAGAAAAAGAAAAAACAATGCACTGGGTTCATGATTCTGATTATTTATGAAGTGATGAAGAGATATGTTTTCAGAGAATTGATAAAGGTTTTATCGGATCCTATACATTTCAGTTGTTCAGGCAACTTGTACCCTAAATCTGGGCTTGAGACACTTCTGCCGAGGCTGTATGAGCTTACCATGGTAAAGAAGGGCTTATTGGTTGCTAGGGGATCACTGCTGGTCTCTGGCTCAGGGGCAGGGTCCTCATCCTCACCACCCAGCAGGTATGCCTGGAATAGTGACAAAATAGACCAAAATTTTCAGTAAGAAAAATTAGAAATAAAGGGACTTTTTTCAGCATACTACACCCGACTACACAAATAAACTGTGGAAAATTTGTCTTGTCATCATTATATAGTGACAGTACAACCAAAAAAGTGTATGGAACTTAAAATACAAGTTATAGCCTGTAACTGTCTGATATTCTTTATCATTACTACCAAAAAGAAGACTATTAACTTTTTGGTGAAATAAAAGAGAAATTTTGTCCTTTGTTGTAGAGAGCACAAGGGTTTAACACTTATCCTTTCCTAGGTTTCCATTTATTTTATCAAACCCAAAATAAACTACTGGTATCATGTGTTAATTTGCAAGATAAGTAGGCCTGAAAATGTCAAAGTATCCATATTTCAGCACACTGAATTGCCAGAATTCCTTTCCTTACATTCTTGTAGTACAGTACAGTACTCGTCAGAACTTTATTAATGGTATTTTCACTATTTTCTTGATTGCATACATCAACTTTTTTCCTCCTAATTCTGGATTTACACAAAAATCAGATATACATGTATGGTATACTCCACAAATTTTAGGAACTCAATCATGCCAAAATATTAAAAGGATCCTATTCATATGGAATGTTTTGATTCATTCCCAAGTGTTTACAAGTCATCACTATGAACATGACGGACAAAGAAAGTGGACAAAATATACAGTTCCTCATTCTACCCTCAACAATTGCTGTGGTAGACAAAGGAACATCCCTTCACTGCTATTATGTAAAAATAAGTAGCAAAGATATGCATGTAAAGCCTGTTTTACACATTTTTACATTATAGCAGTGATGGGATGTTCCTTTGTCTACCACAGCAATTGTTGAGGGTAGAATGAGGAGCTGTATATTTTGTCCGTCATTTTCATAGTGTATGCACTTAAATCTCAAAAGAAAGAAAATTAAACCTGTATTGTTTCCATGGCGATGCTTCTTCAATGGTAAATAGTGTAAGTACAGGAAGCTGAATCTTTATTGTCCCAAACAGCTGGTCATTGGAAAAGGAAAAGCAGGAGCACTTGAAGGAAATGTACCACCCTGAGTCTTGCTGTTGAATCGGTCATCACATAGTGCCTTCAAAAGAGTTTCTGCGATTATAGCACTTTAACATTCTGCAACTGCAAAAGACAAGAAAACAAATTGTGAGGCCTTGTATAATTATTATTGCAGATGCTTGTAAGGGAAAGCAAGATTAAGTATCTAGATCTAGCTGGTGACAACACCTTGGTCTGGAACTCCTTTGAAATTGCACCTCTAACTCAGTAATGATGACATAAATGATTTTGGTGTTTGAGAGGGGGTTGTGTGTACGGGCGCTTAAACAAAAAATAAAGCTTTATAAATGTAATGCTTCCTGGGAGAAATTTCAATTATTTAAACTGATGAATAATTAATGAGTCAGAATGAATCAGGAGAGCTTGGGTTTTTGTTTCTAGTTCATCGTGACTGTGCCATGGACCAGTGATGGCCTGGTGGCAAAGTCGCTGCCAGGCAAGCAGTAGATGGCAGGTTGAAGTCCCGCTGGTTCCAAGATTTTTTCTGACTTGTTTTTTAATACTGGGTGTAAAAAATAAAGCTGTCACTTTTGTCTTCGGAATAAAAAAAAAAATAGCACTAACTATCATAAAGATTCATCCGTGCTGAAATACCATATATGCATGCTTGTCAGTCTAAATGACTTTTGAAATATTGCATGTAATTTTCTTTAAATTGCTGGATTAAACCAACTGTCCGGCCACACAACTTCTGCAGAGCTACCAAGTGTCACGCCTTTCGAGGGTCTGAGAAGGCTCACGCACACGGATTTCGAAAAAAACGCCATACGCTATACCCTCGCCCACATGCCAAGTCATGAAAATGTCACAAATATAGCTCATCTTTGAACTTGGCGTGTCTGCTTCTGGGTATAATTACTCAACACTTCATGACTACAGAACAAAGAAATTCCATCATTGTACTGAAACTAAACATCGGACTAGTTTTCTTCTCGCACATCAGTTTTTAGCATTTGTTTATCCTCATTATCTAAGAGTCTATTTCATTAAATTAATGTTGACCCACACGATATGCGTAGCTGTGAAAATAAAATTGTGGATGGTTATGTCAAAACTTCGAAATTGTAATATCAAATATGCAAATTCAAAGATTGTTTCAAAAATATATTGATCTGAAACTGGTAACATCCACAGAAATAGACAAAATGATTGTCGGTATGAGAATTCAATAATAAAACTGGCATTTAATCAATCTGTACAGAGGCGGTCAGTGGAGCCAGGGCAGCGTCTCACGAAACCGTCATAAGTACAGTCCAACGACGTCCCATTGAATTGCGTGTATTAAGTTTAACACACTATGGGATGTCAGTGAACTTGTACTTATGATGGTTTCGTGCACTGCCCAGATGTATACAGTATAGTGTCACGGAACAAACATCGATATGAGACTGAAGTCTTTCGGTCTACATATACTGTATAGAATGGCAGTCAACACTCCCACATGGAGGGAGTCTCACGCCGCCGCGCCGTACGTCCCACGAGCTCGGAGACTCCCGCCACCACGGCCTTCCTCCCGCTCTCCCGCAAATGATGTAGAATCTCAAGGTTTAAGAAAAAAAAAACAAGCCAAACATGTCAAATGAAAATAAAAAATTTCATACGATAAGGTAAGCCGCGCTGGTTCGCGTCGTCTGAAGGAAACAAAGCTTCCTACAATTAACAGTAGGGGCGCTGGTCCAAGAATGAGGATCGTCCTCATAAACAAGGATATCCTCATAAACAGGGACAAAATGCGTCCTCAAAAATAAGGGTCGTCTGCATTTTCGAGGACGTTTTTTTTCATCGGCGCTCTGGGGGTTTCATGTTACAGAACGGCCCGCTGGCGATGCCAAAAATGGATTCCCCGGGGGAAAATAACCCTAGTTCACCGTCTACTTTTATGGGTTGTCCGTCTTCCAAAGGATTTATTGCTTATAATGTGAAAGTCTCTGTAGACCTACAATGTCAATGTGAAATGCATCAAGAAAATCATTGCAGAATCCGTTTTTTGCATCGCCAATGCGCCGATCAAAAATATTAAACGTCTGCAAAAATGCAGACCGTCCTTATTTTTGAGGACGCATCGGTCCGTGTTTAGGAAGACGATGCTTGTTTATGAAGACGATCTTTATTCTTGGACCAGCGCCCCTACTGATTAAGTCTAACTTCCAAATTTCCAAGACCAGGGATATGTGAGTTTAAATGGATACCCCATCTAAGAGGGCCCTTTGAAGCACTGCAAGGCACCGAGAGTCTTTTTTTCCCCTATCATAATCCCCTTAATCCCCCTCCCGGACCGCACAGCTCGTAAATCTCACTCCCGAAACTGAGTGACATAGGGCTCGCGAAATGCATTGTTGGAAATACACATCGGCTGCTATCAACAAAAATGGCGGCATACAGTAGGGATGAGTATTTGCTAGGCGACGATTTAGACTTTCTGACTGGTTTTGAGGAAGATTTAATTTATGGGAAGTTGGAGACCAACACAAGTTTAATATGCACGTGTGAAATTCCATCAACGGAAAATCTTAATCGTTGCAGCAAACCAGAACGTATGGTTAAATGGTTTCATCGTGAATGCGTAGGCCACTCCAGCAAAACATAGATAGTTGATGCGTATTGACTACTAGCACTGCAGTACGTGTAAATAGGCAGCATTTGAATACATGAATAGTCAATACACTCACGACATACAAATGCACAGCGGTTGATCGGCAAGTTTGACAGTAGACTCACGATTTTAATTTTTAAATTATTCTTTCTAACATCGGAAAGTTTAACAAATTGTATTTTAATGCTCTTTAGGTGTCATCAATCGTCACTAAAGTACTGACTTTGAGTGAAATCAGTTGAGTTTTGTACAGTGGTGTTTGAAATGTTGAGAATCAATAGCACAATTTTTAATATACGGCCAGGGTAGTAATGCAGCTATGTGTGTTTCCTCCCACAACATGCAGCATGTACAGCCCAGCGAGCACGGCGGCTTGCGCGTCGCCTGCCCGTACTCGGGGTGAAAAGTGGTGATGAATTGACAACTTCTAACCCTCATTAAACCAAATGCGCAAATATACAACACAATTTCATTTAGTTATTTTAAGAGATAAACTTATGGACTACCTTCCTAGCTATGTAAAAATTTCGGAAACTTTCGGAAAATGTCAATAATTAGAAGAGAACACGATGATGATGAGAAACTTGCATTCACTCTAACTCACGATTTCCTTGGTCGATTTCGCTGGTTCAGATGGCTACGTCTTCAGTAGAGTTATCCGAGTACAGCGAAAGCATTTGATAACCAATAGAAGGTTGTATTGTGCCATAAGTTGTCGATTTTTGTATTTTATATGTTATAGCTATATACATCTTCCATGAGTATGACGTCATTTTCTCGGTGCCTCGCATGGCTTCAAAGCCTTTTTTTTACGACCAAGTGTTTGGAGAGCTTAGGGAAGCAGACCGTGTTGCGTAACATTTCGTAACATTTGGATTGCCAGAGGGCATCTGTGGTCTGATAAGGGCGGCTGTTGATAGATTTGATGGCTGAAGAGGGTTACATTACTTGTTGTTAAGCCAAGTTAATCTTGAATATCTTTCCCTCGGGAAATTCTTTCGAGACGGAATATCCATTTAATATCCCTGCCAAGACCAAGCAGTTCCAACTCTCCAAAGTTTATCATTTTGGGGGCTTGGTACGAAATTATAATGATTTATTAGCAAAAATAATTATGGAAAATAATGACAAAATTTGTGGCGTGGGGCTGTGTATAGTCTAGTCTATATATGTCCGTGTACGAGACCGAAGACTGACATGCATTGAATACAGAATCATACTCATTCATAAGGCGGTAGCTCTTTCAAAATCGATGACCTTACATTTTACAACAATTTCCATCTAACCTGTACCCTTACTAGATACTTAGTAACTTGGAATGTTATCTTTATTTTGTACAAAGTATACATTTTGTATTAAATCATATTTTCTGAAACAATTTAATAAAGAAAAGCAGGATAATTGATAATTTACCATAAAATTCGTCTCCGTCATGTATTCGCACAAGGCAGACTCTCTCTCTTTCCATAGACGCCATCGTCGATACTATTAGTCTGAGTCGCAGTCATGTTTTAAATCTTTTACTTTTCTAGAAGAGACTCGCGGATACGAACTTGATCAATGGACCTCTATAAGACCGGTTTTAAATAACATTCACATTAATGTGGGGACCTATAGTGACTATAAGCACTGGGGTACTTAATGGGGAGGGGGTAATTGCCGGTTGCTCCCCCCCAAAAAAAACAACAACAAGAAAACAAACAAACAAACAAACAAAACAAAACGAACGTGGTTTATTTCTACATTATAACTCGATACTGGTCAGTGATTACCAATGTTGTTAATTGTACAGGCCCCCAGTTTAATTGCTCATGCATGACGCTGCTGACTCCGAGTTTTATTAACCTGTTATAAAATTTGGAGGGGACTTTAAAATATTATTATTATTATTATTATATGAAATGGAATGCAATTCGAATCAATCAATCAATACTAGGAATCCAGTCTGATGTTATGTCGGGCAAGGCTTGGTTTGTATAAAAGCTTCTAGTACAGAACAACCCGAACCCCCCCCCCCCCCCCCACCAAAAGACCATTTGTACCCCCCAAAAAAGACAAAGTCCCCCAAAACGGGACATCATGTCCCGAAAAAGACCCGATTTCCCCCAAAATGTCCAGTATACAAAAGTCCATTTTAGGGTACATAAATGTTTTTTGTCGGGGTGATTCATAGTTAGTTAACCGGACGTACGTCTGTTGTGGGAAAATAGCATTTAATGATCTTGTTTGCTCGTTAATATGTTTATTCGTTTTTTAAATTAAAAATACAAAATTGTTGGGGGGGGGGGGGGGTAGTGAGCACTTTTTTTTTTTTTTTTTTTTTTTTTTTTTTTTTAGGCCGGGGGGGGGGGGGGGGACGTGCCCCCTGTGTCCCCCCCCCCCTAGATCCGCCACTGAACGCAACAGTGTTATGCAATTCTTACCGCATACGCTGACCAATATCTGTCAAGTTAACAGTAACAAAACAAAGCCATATGTAGTCCATATGTTTCAGATATATCGCCAAAATAAAGTCTGTTTCTGCAGACTAGCTCTAATCCCAGCCTATCGATAGAAGGCTTATACTTTTGACAGAGGACAATTCTAAATACTTTCGTAGTACAATTCATGCTACAAAAAAAAAAAGAACGAAACAAAACATTGTTCTTTTTAAAGAAAAGAAGAAGAAGAACAAGAACAAAAAATCGTTTTAATTGTACAAAACTTCAGAACATAAATCACCTCTCCGACACTATTTTAGTGTATGGCATTTGACCTATTTAAAACATTAAAATTGGACAAACCTACGGAATATAAAACACCTCTCTGCCACTGTTTTAGTAATTATATAACCTTATAAATCCCTCTCTGCAACATAAGGTCTTTGATTTTGCATCTATACACACAAGATCCAAACGTCGACAGTGACGGTACTCGGAGCAGTCGACAGGAGAGCTAAAACAGGTAAGTTTCTTCATCACTTCCGTTACTTCGTTTAATTATCATCTTGATATCATCCTATAAATGTAATATCATATTCAGCATAGGCTTTGTTCGCTTCCAATCATTGGGAGCATTGTAATGGCTCGCATTTCAACTTGTTTTGTGCTGCCGTTGTTGTGCCGCAGTTCGGCTCAGTGGAGTCCAGCGAATCTTGGGGGAAATTGCTCGGCCGTCCACGGGCGCGGGCAGGCGCCTGGCCTGGCTCATCAATAGGTATGTTTTCATCAGCTCGAGATTGCCAAATAACCCACTGTTTGATATTGGAAATAAGCCCGAAGTTATGTAATCGCTTCTTCATCAGCTCGAGTCTCGACCAAAACTTGTGTTCGAGATATTTTGCTCAGCGTTCGCACATAGATCTAGACTAGTGACTAGTCTTGTGCGCCCCTGTTACACATGCGTCGGCTTTTAAAGTGGGCCTGGGAGCGGCCTCACGCCTGCAATTTGAAGCCGCCTCAAGATCATCAAACCCCTGTTACACATGATCTCGAGCCCGCAATTTTGTGTTTACATGTACACATAGGCCGGCCCCACGTCGCCTTAATTTCAAGAGCTGACGTTGGGGCGGACTCCGGAAAGACAGAAAGAGAAAGTGATAGAATGATAAAAATTAAGAATATCATAAGAGAAGGTGATAGAAGGAAGAAACAAAGAATAAGATAAGGAAAGACAGAAAGAGAAAGTGATAGAATGATAAAAACAAAGAAAAACATAAGGAATGACAGCAAGAGAAAGTGATAGAATGAGAAAAACAAAGAATAACTTAAGGAAAGACAGAAAGAGAAAGGGATATAATTATAAAAACAAAGAAACATAATAGAAGGTGATAGAAGGAAGAAACAAAGAATGAGATAAGGAAAGACAGAAAGAGTAAGGGATAGAATTATGAAAACAAAGAAACATAATAGAAGGTGATAGAAGGAAGAAACATAGTATAAGATAAGGAAAGACAGAAAGAGTAAGGGATAGAATTATAAAAACAAAGAATAACATAAGAGAAGATGATAGAAAGAAGATCAGAATACCATAACGAAAGACAGAGAGAAAGTAATAGAATGATAAAAACACAGAATAACTTGAGGAAAGACAGAAAGTGAAAGTCATAGAATGATAAAAACAAAGAATTACATTAGAGAAGGCGATAGAAGAAACAAAGAATAAGATAAGGAAAGACAGAGAGAGAAAGGGATATAATTATAAAAAAAAAAGAATAATATAAGAGACGGTGATAGAAGGAAGAAACAAAGTATAAGATAAGGAAAGACAGAAAGAGAAAGTGATAGAATGATAAAAATAAAGAATAACATAAGGAAAGACAGAAAGAGAAAGTCATTGAATGATAAAAACAAAGAATTACATTAGAGAAGGCGATAGAAGAAACAAAGAATAAGATAAGGAAAGACAGAGAGAGAGAAAGGGATATAATTATAAAAAACAAAGAATAATATAAGAGAATGTGAAAGAAGGAAGAAACAAAGTATGAGATAAGGAAAGACAGAAAGAGAAAGTGATAGAATGATAAAAATAAAGAATAACATAAGGAAAGACAGAAAGAGAAAGTGATAGAATGATAAAAACAAAGAATAACATAAGAGAAGGTGGCAAAGCGCGCCCGATGTATTATGTTGAATATGATGACAGGTCACGTCACTTCCGCTTATAAGCCGGCCCTGAGTCCACTTTGGTGTTGCACCTACTGATTGCGGGACTGAGGCCGGCCTCAAACCACATCAAGAGGCCTCATTCGAGCTTTTCAAAAAAGTTGATGTTACACATACGTCGAGCCGCCTCCGGGGCCGGCCTCCATCCACTTTTAGACGTATGTGTAACAGGGGTCCTAGAGTAGAGCTACGTCGGACAAATAGCGGAATATTTTGCAGATTAGTCCAAGATATCTTGTGATGAATACCTCGACCAAATATCCCGCTAATTGCTACTGCGGGCTGATGAAGACGCTCACAAATAACTGGATAATTTGCGATCGGGATAGTTAAAATAGCGGGTTATTTGGCAATCTTGAGCTGATGAAGACTGGCCTATTGCAGACCTGCCAACCAGTACGATTTAGTCGTATTTCGTACAATTTTTAGAAGCAAATTTCCCTCAATAAAATATGATTTTTTTTTTTGTTGCCGGTATTTTGCCCATTCCGTCCTGTTAAGCATCTCACATCCGCAACTTGGGGATGTTCATCGAACACACCAGTCGTGACAAAATTATGCATATTCAACCAATGATCCATCAAAAAAAAAATCCTGTATGTAGGAACTGTAAGAGGCATTGATCCGCGTAACGGTCCCTTTTTATTTTTAAGAATACAACTTTTGTCAATAAAATACAACTTATGGGATTAATGAATACAGTTTTTGAACTCCAGAGGTTGGCAGGTCTGCTACATGTATTGACATGTCTCTGACTCGGTAGCTGGTGCCTTGGGGCTAGCTTAGTTTGAGCTTAGCTGCGCTGCTAGCTTAGTTTAAGCTTAGCTGCGCTGCTAGCTTCTACATGTAGCCGAACTGACAAATACATTTACCACGTGTACATAAGCCTTATGATAAGGAAAGAGAGAACGCAAGTGAAAGAAAACAAAGAAATGCCTTAGGAAAACAAAGAAATAAGGAACGATAGAAAAAGGATAAACAAGAAATCATCAACAAAAAGTTATAAGGTTTTTAAAGTTTGAGGACAGATACAAAATTAGACATGGGAAAGGGAAATAAATGAAAAGGAGAGAAGGAAAAACAAAGAAATACAAAAGGATGTCAAAAGAAAGAGTAAGAGACACACAAAGAGATGGAAACAAACAAAAAAACCTTAACAAAGAAATAGATCAGAGAAGTCAGTAGAAGAGAGAGATGAAAGAAAATCAAGCACTTAGACCCTTGTTTCTTTTAGTGGGCCTGGGTCTTGCATACATACATATACATGTTATTTAATTCATTGTCTTTTTGTTGATGTTTTTTTATCAATCTTATAATTATTGTTATTTCTGTTAATGTTATCATTATTATTATATATTTTGTTATCATTGAATTTATATTATTATTGTTTTTATTTATATTATTTTCATTATTATTCTTGTTGTTTGTAGTGTCGTTCATGTAGAAGTACATTTATAATCAAAGAAAACTGATGAAAAGACTTTGAGACAAGATGGAGAAATGACAAAATTTTTTATTTTCTTTAGAGGACGTACAGTACATCGTATGGAAATATATGCTATGATTGCTATCTAATACATTTTGGGTAATTACTAATGCCCCGAGGGAGAAGGCACTTATGAGAAAAAACAGAAATTGAGGATATATTTTTGTACACGACAAACAGGAGAGTTATCCGCAACTACATGGACATGTGCATCACCGCCGACTGACTAAACTGCCAATTTGAAATGCTCATACCCAGTACACCCTGTACACAGAGACTTTAACATATCATATCTTCACCTTCTTTTTCCCCTTTCTCTCACTCCTCTATTTCCCTCCTTTCTTTCTCGCTTCTCTCTCCCAATCTGT